GTGAAGCTTTGACTGATGTTCACAGCTGAGAGTGGATTTTCATAGTCCTTAACTGTTCTCTTGTGGTTTATATTCTTCCGTATGTTGTAATTATTGGTATATGTGGTGACTGTGTTCATATATTTTTTCTTTTTATGTTGTAAATTACTGGAAGGCAGGTTTTATATTTCACCCTCAATTGTATTTATACACCTCATGCCTTGCTCATGATAGACACTCCATAGGTGGTAGCCCACTCACTCAACAAATATGAGTTTTGAATGGAAAAATGAATGAATAGATCTGAAGTTGGGAATGGAAGAAAAGGAAACCAGGGTGCTTTGTTATTATAATCAAGGCAGCAAGGAACACAACTGGCGATAATTCAACAAGCCCACATGGGAAGGGCAGGAGTTGGTACTACTCAGCTATGTCCTTCCAAAAGCCAAATAATTCCACACACCATGACATATGATATTGTCATAATTGTGTATAGAGAAGTCTTATCTAGTAGCACATGCTAAGCAAAGAAGCCAAACAGGAAGATGGTCTTCCAGTCTTCGAACAGTAGTAGAAAACTGTAACAAATAATTGTTGTATTATTTTTATTTAATATGTAAGAATTAGGTTTTTTAAAAAAAATCAGTGGATTTACTGTCCAACAAAAGAGCTGAATCAGCAATTGTAGATACTGGAATTACCTCAGAAAATATAAAATTGTTTTCTCTCACCTCCTTCTCAGAGAACTTTATTTCTTATTATCTCTTGAGAATGGAGGGCAAAATGTGTCCCAAAGCTATAGGATACCTGGTGAAAGTATCATAAACACATCATGGCACTATCATGTGATACTGTTTTTATGAGAGAAGAATCATAGAATAGGTAGAAATCCACCTATTGGTACACCCCTTTAAACCAAACACATAAAGAAAATATGCGTCTACAAACATTCCATAAGGTAGGGAATAGTCACTTGGCAAAAGCACTCAGTCTGGTCACCAAAAACAAATCCCTTTTCAGAAACACATCAGCCACATAAAGCAGAGTCTGCCTGTACTCATGTTGCTCAGAGAGTGATGCATCTGGTCACTTGGTGCCAATCTGGGCCACACATGAAAAGACACTCTTTCTCCCCAGCGTATTTAAAAGTCAGTCGATAATTTTGGAAGTATAACTATTTTTCCAGGTTGCCTTTTAAGGTACTTTCCTTTCTAGTCCATCAAAAATGGATTACTGTGACTCATTAACGCAGCTCCAAACACAGTCAGAGAGCAAAAAACACCTTTCCGGTGTCTTAGTCACTTCTATTTCCTAAAGTTGACCCTTTGCTTCTTCATTTTGGCAAGAATTTTGTTGTTTTCTGGTTAATTTAAAAACATTTTAAAAACAACTCCCTTACTACCAGGCATATGGTAGGAACTTAATATAGAAATGTTAAATGAAGTTTCTTTCACTCCATGTACCATGTCTTACTCACAGATTTGCCAAGTACAATAAACTATGAACACTGAATAACTAGAATGTGAGTACTTGAATTCTTTTTTCTTCTCCCCCAAAGTGCCTAATATAGGACTCTGTAAACACTACTCACATATGCACATCTGAATATGTGAGAACCGGCACGTGCACACACAGATGTGCAATCTTATCAGCTGTTGAGTTAGCTTAGAGGATCCTTGACTGATTAACTTCAGGGGTTATCTGTTATAGATCTGATTGTTTTATTGTACCTGGAGAATACCAATATTTTTATAGGAACCCAAGGGAAGGAAAATACCATCCATGCTGATTCTGATGGTTGCTTAGCATGTTAGTTTTATTTCATTTTTTAATTTATTTTTATTTTATAGAGATGGGATCTCACTATATTGCCCAGGCTACTCTTAGACTCCTGGCCTCAAGAGATCCTCCTGCCTTGGCGTCCCAGAGTGCTGGGATTATAGGTATAAGCCACAATGCCTGGCTTGTGTGTTTGGTTTTATATAGTTGTTATAGTTGAATAATTGATTGGTCTGTGGTTGCTGAGTTCTATAAACAGATTTCTGTCTAAAACTATCAATAAACTATTCCAATACCATACTGCTGTTAACTGAAAACATCCTCACTGTTCAGATGGTTTTGGGTTTTTTTTTTTTTTAGTTATAATTTGCTCTCAGCCTGATCTGTTCTAATATTGCCTATTTTCTTTCAGTTCACAGTTATGAGCAGACTTAAATTTTAATAATACACAAGGCAGGAAATGAAGGTTCAAGAGTCAAGTGGAATCTATTAGACTCTGCCACTTACGAGATGGAAGACCTTTAGCCTGTTACTCAGTCAAACTTCACTTTTCTCAGCTATAAAATGAAGATAATAATGGTACATACCTCTCGGAGTCATTGTGGGGATTGTGTTAGAGAATGGATGTAAAATATCTGGCTCACAGTAGTTCTAGAAAGCATTAGTTGCAGTTGCTCTTCTTTCCTGGGATCAATAATCCGAACACCCACACAGTGCCCGTAGCGAGTTGCTCCTTAATGTCAACTTAAGAACATTTGTCACATAACCCAAAACACGTCCCTCCACAGCCTGTGAGGCCCTGTGTGATCTAGTCCTGCCTCCCTTGCCAGCCTCTCGCTCACTGCCTGCCTCCCTTCACTTGATGCTTTTGAGCAAATTGGCCTCATCACTGTTCCCCCATCTCACCATGCAGCTTCCACTTGAGAGACTTCTCAGAGACTATTGCCCCATCTAGATATTAGAACACTCTCCAACCTGCCCTTCACTTGTGTTGATCTCTTTTCAACCTTCACCTATCACTTATGTAGCACGACTTTCCCTAACACTCCTCTCCAAGATTATGTCTCTTCTTATGCTCTCATAGTACCCAGTACTCTTTCTTTCTGATCTTGCTCTGTCACCCAGGCTAGAGTGCATTGGCGCCATCATAGCTCACTGTAACCTTGAACAGCTAGGCTCTTGTGATTCTCCTGCCTCAACCACCTGAGTAACTGGGACTGCAGGTATATGCCATCATACCCAGCTATTTTTTTTTTCAGTAGAGACAGGGTCTTGCTATGCTGCCCAGGCTGGTCTTGAACTCCTGGCCTCAAGTCGGTACACTTTCTTTATAATAGTTATCACATTCTTGCAGTTGCTCTTATAATATATATATATACAATCTGCAATTATATATTGTACATAACTGTTATAGACTGAATTGCGTCCCTCTGAAATTCATATGTGAAGCCCTAATCACTAGTGTCTCAGTGAGTTTATTTGAAGATAGGGTTTTTAAAGAAGTAGTTAAATTTAAGTAAAAAGGAGCCCATCAGGGTGGACTCTAATTCGATCTGACTATGTCCTTATAAGAAGAGGAGATTAGGACACACAGAGAGAGACACCAGGGATGTGCATGCACAGAGAAAGGCCATGTGAGGACACTGCAAGAAGGCGGCCATCTGCAAGCCAAGGAGAGGGGGTCTCAGGAGAAATCAAACCTCCTGACACATTGATCTTCAACTTCCAGCCCACAGAACTGTGAAAAAATAAATTTGTGTTGCTTAAGCCACTCAGTTCGTGGTATTTTGTTACGGGAACCCTCACCGACTAATATATTATGTAAGGCCTGTCTTCTTCCATTAGACTGTGAACTCCATAAGCACAGGAAATATGTCCATATTTCACCACCAAACTCTTAGCACATAGTTTAATGCCTGGCTCCAAGCAGGAGCCAATATCTTTTTGTTTAATTCTTGAATTCATGAATAAAGGAATAAATGATGCAGGGTCATGTCTATTTTATGCTGAAAGCTTTGTGTGTTCTGGGTCCTTCAGTGTTCTTCTCCTATAGGACTGATGGAAGACATGTTGAGTATTTATTTGGGGAAAGCAGTGTCAAATTCTGCATCATTGAAAGGGTTCTGAAATGCATACTCCAGTGTGGAATATGGGCAGCTTAGGAGCAAGAGCCCCGCAGGTGTTGCCGTGGTCTGCTACCCTTCCATGGGATGCAGTGCCCACAATAGCAAGGTGCAGTCGTACGTCAGTGCTATGCCGTAGGGGCCCCACTGCTCCCTTCCAGTATCTTAGGATAATGCCTCAGAACTGGGGATCCCATTGTGATGCTGGGTGCCAGGAATGTGCTATGGCCTCAAAGGACTGCCTGAGTGAGTTCCAGGGTCAGACTTCCCATTTTACCAACACCAAGGGTCTCAAGCTAGTCTTTGGGCCCCCTGGAATGCCAGATGCTATCCAGGTATTCACAAAAATTATCCTGATTGATGCAAGTAGACCATCTAGGGAAATCTAAAGGTCCCCAGGATGTACTTGGAGTTGCAGGACATCTGGAAGCCCACACATGTCTTTAGGTGTATGGAGACTATGTGGTCACCTGATTTGAAGGACAGGAAGGTCCTTATCACTCCCCAACAGCACCTCTCTCCATTATTAGATGGCTAAATGCCTAAAATTCCATCACTAACATGTCACTCTTTTAGGTCAGCATCACTATATCTGGTTGCCTCTTTTGTAAAATGAACCCCTACCCCACCAATTGCCCAGTACATTCAGTCATTAGCATATTATGAATTAGTTCACCAACTATTTTCTCCAGATGGGCTTGACCTGCCTTGAGTCACAAGAGTGGAGAGAGGACAAAGACATTTATAGGGGAAAGAGATCTTGAATATAAATCCTGCCAACTTCAGTTTCTCTAGGGCTCGGGCACTATGACCACAGGCCATCCATGTGCCTAGACCACTCCTGAATCATGCAGTGGGATTCCAGTACCCATGGCACTGAGAAAGGGTACTGCCACAAAGTTGTGGCAGTTCTCTAGCCATAGAAGGTAGGCAATAAAAAAGCATTTCCTTTATGCTGGTCTTTTGTTTCCTTTTCCCCATGGGCCTATAAACAGTTAATCTGGAATTCTGGAAGGAGAAGCTTTCTGCCTCCAGTAAAGTTTGATTCCTGCAGGCAGATTTTTTTTTTTTTTAAATCCAGCAAGTGTCAGATAATTGGAAGGGTGGAGTAACGCTGTAAACCACGACACACCTTTGTCAGGACTTGTTTGGAAGCAAAGAGTTGAAAGAAACAAGGTGGAGAGAAAGAGAAGTGAACATTTTTGAAAGATCACTCAGCTTTAACACACCTTGGCTGGGTCTGGATAAAAAAAAAGTGAGCACTGCAAATTTCTGGAAGAAAACATCAGGGGAAGAAAGAGAGAGGGGGATTTATTCAAAGTTGTTTCCAATTCCTTCAAAACCTCAAACCAGGTAAGTAAACAGGAAGACTGACCTTTCTGCCTTTCTCTGAGACTTTGATGTAAGGTTTGCTGTTTAGAAAGTAAGTGTTTATTGGAGAAAAGAAGATGAAGTTCTGCAGTTTCTAGCATTCTGGTTAAAGTGATTAATTGGTTATAAAAGATGACTTTAGTTGTATGCATTCTGCTTAGGGTAGGTCTTTCAAAGGAAATAAGTGGGGAAAAAGAGAAGGCTGGTTAAAATATAGCAGGGTCTAGAGGCAAGATCTTTCTGTATTGTTTTCAGCATTGTAAAATGACTTGTGTTGTTTTATTTAGAATATGATACGGCCTTATAATTCCTTCTCTTCCAATCTCAGTTTCCCCTCTCGCTATCTTGCTCTCCTCTTCCCTCTCTCTCTCTCCACTGGACAAAGAGAACAACTCAGAGGTGAAGTTAAAGTATAGGTAAGGGGCCTTCTAGAAACAACCCTGTGCTGACTGGGCCTCTCTGATTAAGCCATACATGGTAAACATTGCTGTTTACCATGCTGTAAAATTACCTCTAATCTAAAGAAAAGTGTGATCTTTGAAATGATCTAATTAATTCAGGAATTTTCCAGGATCAAACTTAGAAGAAGAAAAAAAAAGGAAGAAAACTGTTTCCCATATATATACTCTTACAAGTCAACTTGGGTTTCCCCCTGCCAAAAAAAATTCACTTTGAGATGAGAATTACCAGTTTAGATACCTAAGTGGATGACGTTAACTGGTAACTGACAAATTATCACTTTACTTTTTGAAGTGGAGGCAAAACCTCTGGCACATTCCTTTTTTTGAGAAGCAATTAATCAGTAGTCTAATAGTGGACTTGTGAAACGTAGTGAGATTTTTAAAAGGTATTCATTTGAAAAGCAGAATAGTTTCTTCTTACCTCCATATGTTCTCTCTTAGAGCTAAGGCACAGATCTGTCAGAGCTAACCTAAGGCAGATGTCTATCCCCACACAGACGTACTCCAGAGAATCAGAGGGGTCCTGCTTTACTCTTAGGCCCTGCAAAACATCCACATGAGTTTGATCAGAGATTACACAGGAAAAATTAAAATGAACAGCTCTGCTTCAAGCTTGCAGAGAAACTTACCAGCCTGGATAATATGGCAAAACCCCAACTCTACAAAAAATACAAAATTAGCCAAGCATGGTGGTGCACACTCATAGTCCCAGCTACTCAGGAGGCTGAGGCGGGAGGATCACCTAAGCCCAGGAGATTAAGGCTGCAGTGAGCCGTGATGGCACCATTGCACTCTGGCCTGGGCAACAGAGCCAGATTCTGTCTTAAAAAAGAATAGGAACTTTGGGAGGCCGAGGTGGGTGGATCACCAGAGGTCAGGAGTTCGAGACCAGCCTGGCCAATATGGTGAAACCCCATCTTTACGAAAAATGCAAAAATTAGCTGGGCGTGGCAGTGCGTGCCTGTAACCCCAGCTACTTGGGAGGCTGAGGCAGGAGAATTGCTTGAACCCAGTAGGCGGAGGCTGCGGTGGGCCAAGGTTGCGCCACTGCACTCCCGCCTGGGCGACAGAGCAAGACTCTGTCTCAAAAAAGAAAAAAAAAAGAACAGGAAAAAACTCCTTAGATTGGTGAAACTGACCAGAACTAAGAACTAACTACCTTCTCAGATTATGAAAAACAAAAAGAAGTCTGTGTTTACATTGTTTGTTTCATTTGCCATTATTAACAGTAGCAGGACACAACTGTAAACAAACCAGCATAATCACAAAGCTGGTGCCCTATCCCACCTGCCCCCAGTCATGACAATCCAGGATGCCAACTGTAGCAAGCAGCAAACCCATCTCCGGGGTGTTATAGAGACAAAGCCAAGCCTCCGAGACAGTCAACTCCAGGGCATTGGCTTTCCTGGAGTCAAACTGCTGGGCCCTTCTGTGTTATCAGGTCAATAGCCAGTGGATGGTTTTCTAATACTTTAGCAATTTTGTTGTTGTTTTGTTTTAAAACTTAAAGTGTATAAAGATTGGAGTAATAGAAGCTATAAAAATACTTGCAATTCACTAACAGAGTATAGAAACATTCCTAAAACAAAAGATGGAGAGGAAAATACTTAGCTTCTTCATTATCTTTGTTGTATCAAGAACAAAGTGTTTCATATGTCATTAGAATAAGATAACGTGATGATTTAAACCCAAATATGATGGTAAACAGTTAACGTGATGGTTCACTGTCACTAACAGTGGTTTGTCCTTGTGTATGTGTGTATGTTAGACAGCAGCATCGTCTGAATAGTTTTAGGTAGATGTGACATCATTTAAATAAAATAGAAAGGAAAAAGCTCATAAAAGTAGAAAAATGATTTAAAATTGTGTCTTCTTGCCTAGAAAAGTGACATGGGATCATTTTTACACCTTCACAAAAACATTAACTATAAAATAACCACAAAGCAACCCTTTAGAACTATGGATGGAAATTAGTATACTTTTGGAATTGAGAGCTTGAATGATCTGCTCATCCTTAGTTCTAGTGAAGTGGCCCAACTATCTGAGAAGTTAAAAATTATGTTATTTGACAGTGCTTCCATTAAGTAGGGCTTTGGGAAAATGAACACACTGGTGAATCCTGCTAGGATAGGCAGGCGCAGGCACATACCTGGGCAGGAAACGTTCCTTTTCCTAATGTTACACTTTTAAAAAACTATCAGCACTTAAAGTGTGTAAAAAAGAAGTCCTGGGAATATACTCTAGGTCCCATGGGAAGATCCTAGTCCAGGCTTGTGCGCCACGCCATCATTCTCCATTTAATATAACTCACTTATAGAAAGTTTCCTCTTATATTTGGTTTAAAAGAATCAGTCTCCCAACACTTACCTGACACCTCAGATTGGCAGTGGGACACACAGACATTGGGGTGGCTTCAGATTGAGAGACAGGCATCTACCTGTACCTGCCTAGAGCCGGTTACATCCACAAAGTACCTTCCAATGAGGAGCTCCCAGGCCGTGAAGGAAGGCATCTGATTTCTAAGTAGGTCATCACTTCACACCATCTGGAAGGTGGGGAACCCTTGGCTTTTTACTGCAGAAATCCTTTGTCATCGGGATTCAGGGAAAAGATGGAGGGCCTAGAAATGCCTGCTATTTTTCTGGATAAAGAAAGAACAAGCAAAACTTTCCAAGTTTGCTGCCTGGAGACTGTACTCTTAGCAAACAGAGTCATGATCCATCTTCCTAAATGACTGCAAGTGGAACCCATCCAGCCAATCCCAAATGTATAGCTGTCAGCAGCAACTTTCACTGAAAGATCAAAATAAGCAATAACTTGTAGGAAGTAAAAGTTTCTGTGGATTGTTATAAACAGTTCATTTCATGGTAATATTTCATATCAATTCAGGTACCATCCTAGAAAGCTAGTCACCTCCCCACTGACTGCCAGGTGCATTTAAAGGTTTAATCTCCCCAAATGCCTCCTGATCCACAGCTTATTGTCTATTTTTTAAAAAGAAAGTCAGAGAAGGGTTTCAGAGGTATCAAATTAATGCTTAAACAAAGGATTGCAAAGAAGGTGTCCAGTTGCACGTAGGTTTGCATGACATAAGTCATATAGGTTATAGCTGGAATGCAGACAGATTCACTGGCCAGGTTTGTCCTTTAATGAGGCTGGACTCCTTTGTTAAACTGTGTATGGAGCCCCTCCTCTGAGCTCCAGGAAACATACCTATAAAGACATTCTGTGGCTTCTCAGATCCAGCTAGGATTTTTTCCATGATGCCTCATTCCTTGCCTTGAGCTGTGTTTGAGAAACACCAATGAGCAAGAAGTTGGCACATTTACCAGGCCCTGAAGCTAAGTGTACGAATCTTGGTTATTCCACCAGATCGTTGATCACCTGGTCTCATTTGGTCTTGGTTTTCATCAGGGAAGTCACCCAGAGCCACAGTATGACTTTCATGGTCCCTAGACACTTTTGCCTTTGTAGGCCCCTTCCTCCATCAAAAAACTTTTTAAAATTCTATTTTACAACTGCATTGGTATAAAGAAGGACATAATCCAGATTAGATTCTGTTCATTTTTCCTTCTGATGTTAAAAGTAAACATTTTGTGGGCCCCAAAATGTGCTGTGGGCCTAGGCACTGTGCCCACTTTGCCTACTGGGTAAGTCGAGCCTGAAGGCACTAGGCAGAGACTGGAAGGAGAGCTCTTCAAGCAAGGGGCACCTGGCAGAAGCAGTGTGCTTCAGCATTCTAGAACCCAGTTCGAACTACAACCAAAAGATAAACTTTTGGAGGAAGAGGAAGTTAGAGGAAGGGAGAGAATCACAGGGAAAGTCAGATTTCAGGTCCTTTCAGAACCTGGGGCCAGGCAGCACAGCAAGAAGAGAAGAGCCCAATTGGGACGGAGCCTTTGCTGTGCATTCCTGTGTGTTTAACACTTGAGCCTTCATTCTCACTGCCCTCTGGCAACAGCCCTGCCTCATACCATCCATGCTGAGGGACACGGTGGACAAGATTGCACTGGTTTTCTTTTTCAGAAGCAGAGTAAGAATGAAGGGAGTATATAAAAAATACAAATATGTATTTTCCTACATGTTTCTATAGATTTTACAGGCTTTGTTCAACTGTTTTTCATACTTATGTCTGCAGATAAGCATGCAAGAGCTGATTATAGTGAATGTTTCATACTTTGGAAAGAGTAAAGTTCCATACAAGTACGACAAATAAAATTATTTTTATCCTGATTTAAATCCATCAAGTGCCATTCTTACCTCCAGACTCTAAAATAATGAAGCATGAATGTCTCATATGCATAGAGTTCCATATAGAACAATGAACATTATGGGAGATGTTAAAATGAATTAGTTGATAGCACTAAGTGCCTTGACAGATCCCCTTCAGCTATTTATTACCATGGAAAAGAATGGAGATTTTATAGTCAAACAAAGGTCAGGACACCTAATCTGCTATGTAAGCCTCTTGATGCTCAGCAGGGGGCAGGCTGATCAACTAGAGACTGAAAAATAAGATCCCAACATAAAGAAATAGAATCCAAAGTGGAACTATTAAATTAATCTCTATTATACGTGTTATAAGAAATGGGAATGATCTTGTAAAAAATACTCACATGAAAGAATCATGCTTTAAATTCTTGAAATCATGTTTTTGGTTATCAGCTTCAACAGTGAGGACCTATACTTACGAAAAACAATGATAAATATGACTATCCTGGTTTCTGATTTTTCCTGCAGGTGGCTATGGTATGGATGTAACCATGAAAAACAGAGATGGTACTGAAGTCACTGAAAGAAGTAAGAGCATCAGAATTTTTAAATTTATGTGTTTTATTATAAAAGTAACAAAAATTTGGAAACAGAATAAGTAATTCTTTTATAATTTTACCACAACCACTGTATCATGTTTAAATGTGTTCCTAAATGTACTTTAATCCTTCTCATAAGATAGTTCTTGTTGATTTTTATGTCAAAAGATGTCCTGCTTTTTCTTGAATGATGAAGGTTGTCATTTCCATGTATAGTTTTTATAACCCTCATTTTTAATGATGAGATAGCATTATGCTAAATGAATTCACCATAATTTATTTTATCATTTCCAAATTTAGGGGTACAGGGCAACAGAAATCTAAACGAATAACATCCTAGTTATTGCAGAGACAAAGTTGAAATAAAACTAATATCATAGTTGACCTCTACACTGAAAATTGAAAACAGATACATTTATTTAGTGAAACTGCCCAAATAATAAATTCAGAGACATTTAAACTCTCCTCCTACCAACTTTAAGTCAGGAAACTCTTTCACTTATTCTGTGACTTTCATATATCTCCAATTAAAAAAAAAAAAAAATCTGGCTCCATAGACTTGAAACTTTTGAAACTTTTAGTTAGGAAATAATTTATTTTTATGTGTCAAAGAATACCAAAGGTCTGTACAATTAAGGTTTAGTGAAAGCTCAAGGACTATTTTTCAAATCAAGCTGCCACTGTACTCTAGAAAAACATTTCCTTTTTTTTTTTTTTTTTTTTTTTTGAGACGGAGTCTTGCTCTGTCACCCAGGCTGGAGTGCAATGGTGCAATCTTGGCTCACTGCAACCTCTACCTCCCAGGTTCAAGCCATTCTCCTGCCTCAGCCTCCCTAGCAGCTAGGATTACAGGTGCTCACCACCACACCCAGCTAATTTTTTGTATTTTTAGTAGAGACAGGGTTTCACTATGTTGGCCAGGCTGGTCTCAAATCCTGACCTTGTGATCCGCCCACCTCAGCCTCCCAAAGTGCTGGGATTATAGGTGTGAGCCACCACGCCCAGCCAACATTTCCTTTTATGCATTAAGTACTGTTTCTGGCATGTCCATAAGTGCATTTTCTTGCTAGGACAACCAAACTAATTAGCAAAATGCAGTATAAAGAAGGACAGTGTGAATAAGAGTTGTGTGGGATGGAGCAGGTGTCAGCGGCACAGGTGAAAGTAGCACAAAATGATCCTGCACCATCTTCCTTTACTCTTTTCTCCTTTCACCACCTTCCCCACACGTACGTGCCCATGCATGCCACACACACACACACACATGCATGCATGCATACATGCATGCAAGCACGCACACTGGAAACTTGCTTTTAAAGAACAAAATCCCCAGATAGGTAGGGGCTTCTGTATACCCACCAGAGACAGAGGTAGCAGTGAGGGCCACAGTCAGAGCATGAGTAATGGATTCACCATCTCTCAGAACTACAGGAATTAAATTTCAGAGGCCAAGGGGCTGGTTCTTCAAGTTTGTCTGTGATGCGCCTGGATCACTGATTTTGCCAAACCCCAAATGTGACTTACCAGGAGCCCCCTTCCTTCCCACAACTTCAGGGGTTGCCCTGAAGACTTTAGAACAAAACATAATATTCTTGAACACCTCCAAATTCATGAAGAAGTACACAGTGAAGTCAGCCAGGGTGTTGGTCTCAGCTGGACTGAGAGACAATGGGGAAGGAGCAATTCAGAGAAACAGAGTGACTTGAGACAAGAGGGCCTGGTCCTCCTTCAACCTCAGACCAGGTCTGGACTGGATCTAATTGTCTAAGGAGAGACATCAATACCAAAACTACTCATGTTTCAAACAGTGGCTAACTTCTTTTGGCTCCAAAGAGATATAAACTTATTTTCCAAGCATATTAAACCCATTGTTATTGCTCATATCTTTTTGCACAGTGGGTCAGATCATATACCTTAAAGCACAAGCATAGAAAAATCAACGTTGAACCTAATTTAATATGCTTAGCCTATGGCAGAGCTTAGACCTTGCCAAGATCCAGAGGTGTCAGTGCATTACATAAGAACTCACCTTTTCTTTGTCTTTTTCTAGTTGTCACTGAAACAGTAACCACAAGACTTACATCCTTACCACCAAGTAAGTAACTACCTCAATAGCTTTCTTTTCAGTAGGTCACATTTGAAGGGCCCCACACTTCTAACCTTCTCCATGGGAGCTCCAAAATTTTTGAAATCTTTTTTAACAGCTATATTGACATCAATTTCTATACAACAGAATTCACCAGTTTGAAGTGTATAATTCAGCAATTGCTAGTATATTTACCAAGTTATGCAGCCATGGTTACAGAACCATTTTAGATTTCCATGGCTCCGCAAAAAGAAGTGACCATTAGCAGTCATTCCTTATTCTCCCTCCTCTCTCCTCAGCCCCTAGAAACCACCAATCTACTGTCCCTGTAGATTTGCCTATTCCATATGCTAAAATATTGGATATCTCATCTATCCTGAGCAGGGATTGGGGGCTACCAGTCAAGCTTCTTGTTGAGGCTACTTTTTTTGTCCAGGAGCTCCTATCACTCCTGTAATATTGATCTGAGCCCAAAACCTACCCCCTGCCCCCACCTCCAGGGAGCCTTGTTCCCTGGGGATGAGGAGAGCCCACCTACCAGCAGGTGAAGTTGGAGCAGTGATGGGCTGCCAGGTGGAACACCAGCAACACAGAGCTGCCACACGCCCTTCCAGCACTTCTAGGCGCTGCCATGCCTGGGTGCTGACCAGGCACTCAGAAAAAGCAAGCCCAACCAGGTCCTGGACTCAAGGAGCTTTCATCGCTCAGCCTTTTCTAATATTTAAAATTTCCTAATATGCAACTGGCTATATTCCACCCAGGAGACTTTTCTTTTAAATCAGGTGGAATACTCACTCTAGATATTTGTATAAAACAAAACAAAACAAAAAACAATGAAACTGGAGCATGGCAGCTTGCATCTTATAATGTAGGTGAGAAAGGGACCCCAAACTAAGAAGGTCCTGGTGAAAAACCAGGGAAGGCTTCCACATGGTGGGGACAGGGGATCCTCTGGCCTGACTCCACTCTGAAACTGTCACCTGCTTTTGTTCCTGGCAGAAGGCGGGACCAGCAATGGCTATGCCAAAACAGGCTCTTTTGGCGGAGGGAGCCGGCTGGAGAAACAAAGCCTGACTCATGGCAGCAGCGGCTACATAAACTCAAGTGAGTGCCCACTGGTGCAACGGGTCAGGGAAGAATGGGTGACAAAGAGAGAGACACCAAGAAAGTCCTACACAGGACACAGGGCAGACGCGATTTTGAATCAGTGCACAAGAGGGACAATTACAATCACCTGTCATCCATTCCAAATGCCCCCAAGAGTCACCTAAATAACACACAGCCATTGGACGGCAGGGGTGGAGAATGGGAGTGTAAATTATAAATCATCAGCATTTGAAGCTTGCTTAAAATCAGATCCATTTTCATTAAGTCCACAATATAAATAACTATCATTAATTAAGAAGACTTCATAGGTAGGTAGCTATTTCCCCACTAAATCACTCTCTTTAAGCCATCTCTTTAGAGAACGATGTGCACGCCTGAGGGTTTACAATTTGAATTAACAACAACAAAAGAAACTTAACGATTGGGTTACTGTGCTAAGGGAAGCTGGTGACATGCGATCCCATGCTGTGCAAGATTCCACTGGGCAAGCATCCAACACAGGCCCATTGTTCCCAGTGAAGCACTCTTTCAAACTAAAACAAAACAAAGCAAAGCAAGGCAAAACAAAACAAAAACAAGAAGCACCCAGATATCCCCTGAAGCCATTTAAAATACTTGAAAGTAAAACTAAAAAGGAAGCCCCAAGGCATAAGAACAGCCAGGTTGACCAAAAGAAACACCTGCCCTTACCTGTTGAGGCACACTTCCAAGCTGGATTATATTCTAGTCCTTCCAAGCAGTGTCTACAAGAAAAATGCTGCCAAATCCTTTCCATTTCCATGCATGGTAACCATGCACAGGAAGGACTTTCCCAGGCAATAATTCCACCTTTCCATTTATGAACAGCTGGGGGAATGCTGAGGTGGCCCCTTTCAGCTGTGCCCTCCCGAAACCCCTCCCTGAGTGTACTTGGTTAATATAGTTGGGTCACAGTAACCATTTGGTTCACCTCTCTGCTGAAGCACTGAAAACTTATGCTTTTCCCCTCTTACAGCTGGAAGCACACGAGGCCATGCCTCCACCTCTAGTTACAGGAGGGCTCACTCACCTGCCTCCACTCTGCCCAACTCCCCAGGCTCAACCTTTGAAAGGAAAACTCACGTTACCCGCCATGCATATGAAGGTATCAGTCCCACTAACCATACAAGAGAACCATTCTCTTCCCCAAGCAACTTCACTCATTCTTTGAAGATTTACATCCTGGGCACCTGTGTCTGCCCCTCATCTTTCTCCCCACTCCTCCTTCATTTCTTTTATGGACTTTCATTACTTGAAGACTTCATTCATTCATTCACTACCTCATTTATTCATTCATTCACCCATTTAGTTACTTTTCCAACTAGTATTTTATCCAGCACCTGCTATGTGTTTAACACTGTGTAGAAAGGCTTGATGAATGCTTAAATGAATCAGACATGGATCTTGTCTTCAGGACCTATAGTCTAATAGACAAGTTAAGATGACAGATAAAATACAATTGTGTAAAGCAGATGGAGATTATCATTTTAAGCTGAGGAAATCAGGGAAAATTCTATGGAGTGGGTGACATCTGAGCTGGGTCCTCATGATGAGTAAGAGTTTATTACCCAAAGATGGAGAGATGGGGCTGTCCAAGCTGTGGGAGCAGCAGCATAAGCAAAGACAGCCAGGAGAGCCTGGGGCTTAAGTCGGAAATTCAGCAGTACTTATGTGCAAAATGTTTGAGGGACTCAGATTCAGTGCTGGGATAAGAGGTTTAGACTTTATTCCATATGCAATGGGAAGCCACAGAGAGTTTTTAGCAAAACAATCATATTTGAGGCCCAGGACTGAAACTCTGGAAGCCATATGTTGGAAAAATTGGTGAGAAAGAGACTAAACACAGTGACAAGTTAAAAAGAAATCCTCAGTCATCCAGAGAAGGGACATTTTGGCTGGGACCAGGTTGATAATGATGGAGGTGAGGAGCTAGAGGTGGAAGGTATCACTGAAGTGGAATTGACAGGTTTGGCAATAGATTAGATGTAAGGAGAAGGCTTCACACACAGGTTGGGTTCTTGGTGGTGCCAACAACTGAAACAGGGAACTAGATGGATGACTCCACTTGATGAATCCAGCTATTTCATCCTGAAGTACAGCCACTTGCCCAGCTCTCTGGCGAGGGTAGCAAGCAGGCAGTGGGTGATGCAGGATTTGAGTTCAGGGAAGAAGTCAGGGCCCAGATACCCAGGTGGAAGCCATTCACAAGGAAGTGTTAGAGGAAATCAGAAGACTAAAGGAGTTTGCCAAGAAGGAGAGTATAAAAGTTGAAGGAAGCAAAGAAAGATAAAGTGGAGGGAATAAGGAGAAAGAAGAGCCAGAGAACAGAGAGAGGAGGAAGAGTCTTTTAGGGACATGGGGAGACCAGGAACATGCAGCAATGCTGAGGTCAACACAAGAGAGTGCTCAGGGTCAAGAAGGAGTCGTAGAAGAAGACACCTGGGTTCCATTACTAAGGTTCCTGGAGTTCCTGGTGATCTGCAGTAGCAGTTTTATGTGGGAAACTGACCAGCCAGGTGGCCAAGGAGTTTAACGGTGAGAAGAGATGGGTGCTGGTATTGGAGAAGCAGGAGTAACGCCCACACACTCTAGTGAATGACTACAGCGGGCTGGCATCCCACACACACAGCAGACTCCCTCCTGCTGCTGCAGGATGAGAGCTACCGGGCCTTTGGGAAGCCCCAAATCCAGGTGAGGTGGATTGCATCATCACAGTGCTTTCTGAGGTCGGGCCTGACCAGGGATTTGTACCTTCATTTTAATTGGGTCCACGTTTGGGACAAGCCTCACAAGGTCAGAGAGGTTTCTGGTGCTGAAGGCAGGTTACTTGATCAGGGCAGATCACTTGCTCTAAAGACAGGCACAGGGCAAGCCCGGTGGAGGAAGTGAACAAAAAAGAAAGAAAGAAAAACCTGCTGCTCTCCTTTGTTCATCCTTGCCTCATCTGAAGTAGGTCCTTGACCAGAGTAAAGTGCTGCGACCAGGGCCATGATGGGTCGTGTTTACATCATGAGCCTGGCTCCTTTCACATGCATGCTGAAGAGCATACCTCATCCCCCCCTGAAACACTGAGGGCTGTGGAGGTCCAGAAAGAAGTAACAGGCACTGCCTCCCCTTTTGGAAGCTCTATGGGCCTAAGAGGCCATTTGTTCTAAGTGTTTTATCCCCTCTCCAGGGAGCTCCAGTGGCAACTCTTCTCCAGAGTACCCTCGGAAGGAATTTGGTATGTCTTCTCATTTTCTAAAGAAATGGTCAAACGAGGCTCTAGGAAAATCCCTGGGGGAGATGAAGTGGTGGGAGTAGGGGACATGATGAGTTAAATGGATTCTTCTAAAGGAGTTTGACCCCTGCTGACCTATTTTTCCCTTGCTCTTTATCCTGAAGCATATTAAGGGGACTCTCAACCACATAAACTTGCTGTCTTTGTTTTTTTTTTTTTTTTTTTTTTTTTTTTTTTTGAGACGGAGTCTCGCTCTGTCGCCCAGGCTGGAGTGCAGTGGCTGGATCTCAGCTCACTGCAAGC